TACAGCTTTCCTTGGGTTCTTTAATGCTTCCTCTCCCCCATTATCATGACCCTAATTCTCCCTTACCAGTCTGGCTAGACCAGAGCATGTACATGGGTACAGATAAGAGCTGGAAACACAAGGAGTATAGGACAGATAAACCCCTCGGGACCAATATTGAGAATAGCCATACCAGGAGGGTAAGGGTAAGGTGGGGGGAGAAAGAGGGAAACAATCACAATGACCTACCTATAACCCCCTCCCAGGTGGATGGGCAACAGACAAAGGGGTAATGGGAGACAGTGGACAGTGCAAGATATGAAAAAATAATAATTTTTAAATTATCAAGGGTTCATGGGGGAGGGAGGGAAGGGAAAAATGAAGAGTTGATATCAAGGGCTCAAGTAGAAAGAAAATGCTTTGAAAATGATGATGGCAACATATGTACAAATGTGCTTGACACAATGGATGGATGGCTGGCTTGTGATGGGTTGTATGAGCCCCCAGTAAAATGATTTATAAAAAAAACCCACGCAAAAAAACAAACCAAAAAACCCCATTTTACCTTTGAACTGATCCAGGATTGATGTTTGCCAGTTCCCAGTTGGAATAGCCTGAAGTCCAAGGATTGAGTTTATTCAGACACATGGTACTATATACTTCACAGTAGCTCAGTCTGTTTTCTGAGTACTTCCGAGAAAGGTGTGTAGCCATGGATTAGGTAGCTTGGCAGCAGCTGTTTCAAAGGAAGAACAAGAGTTTTCGATGCTAAAGACCTGTGTCTTGTACCCCAACCCATGACTGTGTGACTTTCTGGGCACTCCCTGTTTTGAAGTGTTTTGGTGATTAAATGAAATAATGCATCTGGGATTTTGGATTTGGAATAAGAACAAATTTTGTTTCTAGCTTTCATCTTCCTTAGCCTTTTAGGCCGTTGTTTGTTATGCGGAAAGAAACAGGTTCCGAAAGTCAAAGAAGATATGGTAACAATAAAAGTGTACCATAATGTAAATGTAGTGGCCATCCTGCAGAACAGGGTAGAACTGGCCCTGTGGGCTTCTGAGACTGTAACTCTTTATGGGAGTGTCTTTTGCTCAAGAAGTGGCTGGTAGTTTTAACTGCCTAACCTGGAGGTTGGCAGCCCAATTCTCAACCCACGATGCTACCAGGGCTCATATTATGACTCTCCTCTGCTCTAAAGTGCTTTATTTATATTAACTGAGGTGAACCTTCCATGGCTCTGGGGTGAGTATTATAATACTATTTTATATAGGAGACAAATAAGCATTTTTTTGCACATAGCTGCTTAGGAGAAGAGCCCGAGCTCAGAATGATGTGTTCAGCACCCGATCCCTGACTCGTGCTTTGCTTGCTGGTCTCCAGTTGAGTTAGTTGATTGTGCCAACCTGGCC